AGTCCACATCTCCATTGGTGTCTTTAGCTCTATTGCAGTTGATGGAGCTCGATTCACCAAATAACAGGCGGTATTGATTGCTTCTGCCCAAAATGATTTTTCTAGGACTGGAGCCCTCAACATTGCTCTTGTTCTTTCAAACAAGGTTCTGTTCATTCGCTCTGTTACTCCATTTTATTGAGGAGTGTTCGCCATTGTGAATTGTCTTCTGATGCCTTCTTTCCTACAAAAGTAATCAAATTCTTCGCTTGTGTATTCTCCTTCATTATCCGTTCTGAAACACTTGATCTTATTTCCAGAATCAAGTTCCACCCACACTTTGAAGTTTTTGAAAGTGTAAAATACATCTGATTTCTTTTTAATAGGTACACCCAACATCTCCTGGAGTAGTCATCAATAAATGAGACAAAATATTTTGCTCCGCCTAGGGATGTAACTGGTGCTTGCCATACGTCAGAATGAACCAATTCTAGTACACTTTTGCCTCTAGAATTTGACGTGTTGAATTTCAACTGGTGCTGCTTACTTGTTATGCAATGCTCACACAAAGTAAGTGATACCTTTGTTAAGCCTGGAAGTAACTTTTGCTCTACAAGGACTTTCATTCATTGTTCTGACATGTGTCCAAGTTTCTGATGCCATAACATTACAGAATCTGAACTACATGAGGAAATAGAAGATTCTTCTTCTAGCAAGGTCTCTCCCTTCAGCATGTGCAAGTTTGTTGTTATCTTTTCGCCTTTCATCACCACAAGCGCTCCACGGAACACCTTCATGATTCTTTTTCGTGTTTCAATCTTGCTTGCATTATTATCCAACAATCCGTAGGATAATAAATTTTTCTTCGGGCTTTTCACGTTCCGCACATCTCGAACAACTTTAATTGTTTAATCATACATCTTCAATTTGATGGTTCCCATACCAATGATCTCTAAGGCATGATCATTACAACTATACACAGATCCTCCTGAGACAGGTTCATAATGATGAAATCATTCTCTTCTTGAGGTCATGTGATATGTTACTCTTGAATCAATGAGCCATATATATACAAATCTTTTTCTACCTTCCACGGTGGTTGATGCTTCACAACATAGAGCATCTCCCTAATTTGAAGTGTTTGCAGTATTGGCTTGTGGATTGGAGTTTTTATTTAGACTCCAATAATCTTTCTTCAAGTGATCGTTCTTTCCACAGTTGCAGCACTTTAAATTCTTCTTGCTTCTCGACTTTGATCTACCATGTTTGTGACTGTTGCTTTAGACACGTTCTGTTGATCTCCCTCTCATCGTTGTCAACGCTTCTGCTTGTTGTAGATTTACTTATATGTCTTCTTTGTTCTTGCACCGATGTTCTTCTTGTAGAACAGCAGCTGCAACGTCATCGAAGACTAGACTGGTGACATTACTGTTTGTCAAGTTAATGATGAGTTGATCATACGAATCAGGTAGACTTTGAAGTAGAATGTCATCACGTTCTTGTTCTCCTATTGTACATCTTAAGGATGTAAGCTGAGAAAATAAAGTGTTCAACGTGTTTAAGTGCTCTGTCACTGAAGTAGATTCTGACATACGGAGAGTGTACAATTTTCCCCTTAAGGAAAATTTTATTGTGCAACGATGTGACCTCTTACAATTTGATGAGATGATCTCATATCTCCTTAGCTGTATTCTTCTCCTCGATGCTTGACAATATTTCATCTGCTAATGCTAGATGAAAGTTTTTCACAGTATTCCCGTCCATTTCGATCTATTTGTTGTCATCTGTGAAATCTACAGGCCTTTCACTGATAGCTCCTAGACAACCGTCTTTCCTCAGGACGACCTTCATCTTCAATTTCCACAATGAGAAATTTCTCTCATTGAATTTTTCAATATCAAATTTCGTTGTTATAGCTTCTTTTACGGATAGCTCCCACTATTTCACTATCGTGAATAGTTCTCTGAAACTTTCAAAGAATGGGTAATACCTTCTTACTTTCTTATATTGGAGGATCCACCTTTTGGTGGCAATCACAAAGACAATAAGTAGATATTAAACACTCTAATCTGGCTCTTGATACCAATTATTGTGGAATACAACTACCAGATAGAGCAAAATCGAAAATAATAATTTGAGAAAATAAAAAATAAAGATAAAGAAGACACAAATTTTATATGGAAAACCCCTAAATAATATAGAATAAAAACCACGAGCAAAGGTAGAATAATTTCACTATGAGAAAATAAGAATTACAACTTCTCTCGATCTATGAAGGAGAAAACAATGACAATTCTCTCTTGATAAAAAAATGAGAAAACAACTCCCAAGAAAACTCTTTAAATTCTCTAGTATTGGGAGAAAGCTAGAATGATTTGGGATGATTTTAAAGCTAAATGAGTTAGTGTATTTATAGTTGAAGCTTAATGACTAATATTGTAAATACCCTAATGTCTAGTGACTAATTGCAATTTTTACCATTGCCCAAAAATCAACATTTTTGTTGCCACTTGCACCGAAAGTGCACCTCCACCGAAATTGCATGTGCTTGCATGCTTGACTTTCAACATTCCCTGGGCCCCATATGGCGATCACCGGAGAAACTTGAGGCGTCTGGCCACTCTCGAACTCTTGTCATCTGATCGTGTTCAAAAGTATCTTGCGATACAAATGGATGAAGTCTGATCCTTGATTCTCATGCTTTACAGGATATCAAAGGGTGGTGAGTTTCTGATTGTGGAGATGAAATCAATGTTTTTTGAATTAACTCTCAATGTTATGATGAGGATGATGGCTGGGAAGAGATACTATGGTGAAGGAGCGGAAGAACTGGAGGAAGAAAGAAAGTTCAAAGAAATAGTGATGACAGAGACCCTTGAGTTGAGTGGAGCCACAAATATTGGAGATTTTGTACTTGTTTTGAAATGAGCTGGATTGAATAAAATTGACAAGAAGCTGGCAATATTACAAAAGAAGAGGGACGATTTCATGCAAAACTTGATTGATGAGCGCCGAAAAATAACAAGTCATTCGTATTCTGAACAGAGCAGCAAAACGATGGTTGATGTTCTATTGTCTTTGAAAGAAACTGATTCTGAATATTAAACAGATGATATCATCAAAGGAATGATGCAAGTAAGCTATTCTCTCTTGTAAAATCAATGTTCATCTCTACTATACTCTATGTTCCACTTATCTTTTGTGTACATATATTGTTATCAGCTGGGACCATGGAGTGGGCACTATCACTTTTGTTGAACAATCCAAAAACCCTTTCCTAAGCTAGGGAAGAAATAGACAAGGAGATAGGATCAAAGAGGGTGATGGAGGAATCAGATATAGGCAAACTCCCGTACCTCCACGGCATCATAAAGGAAACACTAAGGATGTGTCTCGTTACCCCACTTCTAATACCGCACGAGTCATCTGAGGAATGCAGCGTGGGAGGTTTCTGTATCCCGCGAGGCACAATGCTGTTGGCTAATACGTGGGCCATTCAGAATGATCCTGGATGTTGGGAACAACCCTCTGAGTTTAATCCCGAGAGGTTCATAAGACCAGAGATGGTAAAGAATGGGTTCAAGATGTTGCCATTTGGGACAGGTAGGAGGACGAGTCCAGGAGAGAGCTTGGCTATGGGTTTGTTTCCTTTCACTTTGGGATCTCTGATTCAGTGCTTTGAGTGGGAGAGAATTGGTGAGGAGATGGTTGACATGAGTGAAGGGAATGGGCTGACCATCCCCAAGGCTCACCCCTTGCTCGCCAAATGTACCACACCCACATATGATTAGCTTCCTCTCCCAATATTAGATATCAACTTCTCATGTCTGTCTCAATTTTATGTTCTCGTGGATCCTTTTAGGGGACTATATTATTCAATCAGCTTTGTCGGTGTCCAAAGTCACTCTAGTGCATCCATCTTCAGTTTCATTTCATGCACTTGCAAAGCTATTTATGCATTGTACAACAACATATAAATGTCTTGAGCTACTTCATTAATCTATTGCACCTGGATACGGTTGGCTTAAGCACTATGAAAGGTTTGGCCCGTGTGGTTATGAGAGTAAATTCTTTCATTCAGCTTTCAAGGATTCTATTAGTATTTGTTATTCAAAGCACCTCCGGGTTGTGGAATTCATGCAGTCATACTTCATATAGAGTCCGCAACCGGAAACAACTTCTGCGGTTCTGCCTGATTCTCTAGTAGGCAACATCAATTTTACACAACACGAAATGATTTATAAGTGTTTATTGTGATGTTTGTTTTAACGGTATGAATGGGGCTTTGCTGGTTTTTGGTGCGGGAAAACTGATATATAAATCATTGACAAGAAAGATAATAAAGCTTTCGTTCTTAAAACGAGGCTCCTCCGCCATTAAAGACCTTTGGGCACGTTTCTTAGCATGGTCAATCGTGATTCAATTTATTTTCCCCCATGATAACTGCCGGCCGTTTGATTCGTCATATACTTTGATTAAAGCTTCTTCAACGTGGCTTCCCATGAATGGCAGACTATGCCGGCTAAATTATATAAAAAAAATCTTCGGTTATTTTCGCTTCTCATTTTTTAAAGACTGGTGTTCAGTAAATTAGCGGATCGTTTTTCTGTCTGCAATGGTCTGTCGTCATCTACTTTGATTAAAGCTTCTTCAACGTGGCTTCCCATGAATGGCAGACTATGCCGGCTAAATTATATAAAAAAATCTGCGGTTATTTTCGCGTCTCATTTTTTAAAGACTAGTGTTCAGTGCTTTAGCGGATCGTTTTTCTGTCTGCAATGGTCTGTAGTCATCTACTTTGATTAAAGCTTCTTCAACGTGGCTTCCCATGAATGGCAGACTATGCCGGCTAAATTATAAAAAAAAATCTTCGGTTATTTTCGCGTCTCATTTTTTTAAAGACTAGTGTTCAGTGCTTTAGCGGATCGTTTTTCTGTCTGCAATGGTCTGTCGTCATCTACTTTGATTAAAGCTTCTTCAACGTGGCTTCCCATGAATGGCAGACTATGCCGGCTAAATTATATAAAAAAAATCTTCGGTTATTTTCGCGTCTCATTTTTTTAAGACTAGTGTTCAGTGCTTTAGCGGATCGTTTTTTCTGTCTGCAATGGTCTGTCGTCGTTGACCGTAATTTGGAGCCGAAGTGACGCGCCATGCCTCGAACCTGGTTTTTCCTAACTTATTTCTTTTTGATCGTCTGTTACGTTACCGGTTTCCATATCTCCATCGTCGATGCCAGAAATAATCAACGGCCGCCGATGGTCCTTCCGCTACGTCTATCATCACGTAACCATTCCCTGCATAGACACGTGGACAATCTCCGCCGTCATCTGCAGCAATCAAAGCTCCCCCGTTCCACTACAAATGCTCGCACGAGACTCTACGACGATCTCCTATCCAACGGGTCTCTCTACTGTTAAATAGAGTTTATTTTTTTCCACTTTTGTATTTTTTTTTAATACTGAAGAAATTTATTTTTCTTTCTTTTCTAATTTGCAGTTACCATACGACTCGGCTATGGATAGGATCGCCTCCTCAGGAATTCGCTCTTATCGTGGACACCGGAAGTACAGTAACTTATGTTCCTTGCTTTAGTTGTTCACATTGCGGCGACCATCAGGTTAATTTCCGTCGTATGAAGTTCGTGCAGTTTGGCTTACCCGGTTGATAATTGTAATTAATCAATTTTAAAATTGATTCATTTTTTTAGCTTTAATCAAATCGAAAATCTGAGTCATTAGCATAGTAGATTTTTAAAGAAGTTTAAACGGGTGATTTTGAGTATTATTCTTAAAGTTCTATCACTAATTCATTATGATGAGAAATGAGTCGTGCTAGGCAAGTAAATTTAGAATCTCGGTCTAATTTCTTATTTTCTAGATCTACTAGTTAGAAATTAAGGGAATTGGCGGTAATTTTGTTGGAATTTTAATCTCTTGTTAGAATCCAGGGTCCGAGGTTCCAACCAGATATGTCTAGCACTTATCAACCTGTAAAATGCAATCCAAGTTGTAACTGTGATGATGAGAAAAAACAATGCACTTATGATAGACGGTATGCTGAAATGAGTTCCAGCAGTGGGGTGCTTGGGGAGGATCTTGTTTCTTTTGGGAATGACAGTGAACTTGCGCCTCAGCCTGCTATCTTTGGTTGTGAAAATATGGAAACAGGGGACCTTTACAGCCAACGAGCTGATGGTATAATGGGTTTGGGTCGTGGGCGACTTAGTGTCGTTGATCAACTTGTAGATAAGGGTGTTATTGGTGATTCCTTTTCTTTGTGTTATGGAGGGATGGATGTTGGTGGGGGTGCAATGGTTCTCGGAGAAATCTCTCCTCCTCCTGACATGGTTTTCTCCCATTCAGACCCTTTCCGCAGGTATTTCTTTCTTACAGGATCATATTTGTCGGATGCATTTATGTAAAAATGCATATAATTCTTGTTACACATTCACTATAATTTTTTAATGTCAACAGCCCTTACTACAACATTGAGCTTAAGGAAATTCATGTTGCTGGAAAGCAATTGAATTTACCGGCTGGGGTCTTTGATGGTAAGCATGGAACAGTCTTGGACAGTGGAACAACATATGCTTACTTTCGCCGAGACGCCTTTTCTGCATTTAGGAATGCTGTAAGATCTGACTGCTTTGAGTTTCATGTTCTTTTTAGTTTGATCACAAGTCAAGTTCTCACTCTCTAATTTCTATTCTATGATTATGATTTACTATGTTAATTGAAGCTTAGAAAGAGTTTTTGATCTTGGTTGTGTGATTGAAGATCTTGTGCTTTGATTGCATTTTCACTTGCCCTAGTAGATAAATGATATTCATTTTGCCATTTGTTCTAATGTCTGCTACATTGAAGAGTAGTTGGAAATTTAGGAATGTATATAACAAGGCAACTGTGGAGGAAGCTGAGTACAGATGCATATTAGTATATCTGGGTTGCAATGCCATTTAAAGTTATTCCTTTTGTAACTTCTTTGTTTCTTTCTTAGCACTTTGAGATGCTGCTTCTTAAATACAGTCTGATATAATCATTCAGTTTCTGGAACTTCTCAGTTATAGGACATTTTTTCTTCAGAGATTTGAACTTTGAAGCACGTCTATTTTGCATGGTTTTTTCTTTTTTGTTGTTCAAATATTCTAGATGGTTATTATTTTTCTTTTTGGCATACAGGCAATGCATTTTCGTAATAACTGGAAAAATAGTAATGTTACTTTGTCAAGGAAAAATAAAGTGCCAATAAAATATTAATGGACTAACTGCATTTTGCATTTATCATGAATTAGCATGTTCTATGACTATTTTAGGTTGATTTATGCAGTCTATGCATTTAGGATATAATATTCATTGAACCATTACATGGTCTGTGCCTCAATCTTGAAAATTGTGGCTGCAACCAGCATTGAGGGTTACTGTGGCTGCAACCATGATTAGTCTCTTTCATTAGACAATACCATTTTGGTGTTGTTCAATTCATTGCTCGAACTACTCTGTCAGTTATTCGATAATCGTCTTCAACTGTTTTCATTCTTTATTAACATAAATATCATCATCTAATTGTCTTCACAGTTATTTCATACTTGGTTGTTTAAATGCAGATCCTTAGTGCAATTCATTTTCTCGAAAGGATCCCTGGTCCTGATCCTAATTATCATGATATCTGTTTTTCTGGTGCCGGAAGGTGTTGCTGATAACTTTTCATTTTATGTGATATGCTGTCATTGTCTTGAACTCAATCTTAATGGTTATTGTCGGAATGTGATACAGTGATGTTTCACAACTATCAAAAATTTTCCCAGAGGTTGAGATGGTGTTTAAGAATGGAAAGAAGTTATTGCTGTCTCCAGAAAACTACCTGTTCAAGGTAATTGATCTTTCCCCCCTAACTTTGCATGCTTAACGATAAACACGAGTCCTTGGTTAGTGGAAAAGCTAATTTAAGTTCAAACTATTTTCTGTGCTAGTTTTTTCAAAGTACAAACTCTTATCTGATATGCATCTCCTTTGTCTGTCTCTTATTGGCATGCTTTGTAGCATACAAAGGCTAGTGGTGCATATTGCTTGGGAATTTTCCCAAATTCAGAACCAACAACTCTTTTAGGAGGTATGTTGCATCATTTGTGAAACCCTCCGCCGCCGCCCCCCCCCCCCCAAAAAAAATTGAAAAGCATGTTTGGTAAATAGAAATATGAATTTTTTTAAACAATGAAAATATGAAAATAGGTTTGGTTACCTATTTTCTGATAATAGGAACATGATAAATAAAATAAAGAAATTCCATTCATTTATATAGATTCAAACCAGGGTCAGCGATTTAATATTTAAAAATTGCTGGAAAAAATAATATATATGTTTGTCTACATGGATTTGAACCCGAGTCATTTCAATAAGTTTAAAGACCCTTGTTTTTTACGCTTTCAATTTTTGCAAAACATATTTAGTGAAATTTTCTAATTTTCACATATTTCTAAGATTAAAGGAAAATGGTCTCTGTTTCCTGAAACCAAACAGAGCCTAAAATTCTTATAGTATACATAGGCTAACCTGGGCTCCTCGGCCTGTATGCACCATTCCAACTTGATATATTTTGTTTGTTTGGGTAACTGTAGTCATAATCTCTTCAACTTTTGTTTGTCTGAGGCAGGAATTGTCGTCCAGAACACCCTTGTCACTTATGATCGGGCTAATGACAGGATAGGTTTTTTAAAAACTAATTGTTCTGAACTATGGAGGAGATTGCAGTTCTCTGTTGCACCGGAACCGGCTCTTTTAGTCTCACAAAGCAATGATACTAACATGGAAATTCCTCCTGTACTATCCCGAAGTGCATCGACATGGAATATTCTTTCAGGTGCGTGGCTTTAATACTTGCTTCATTGATATGTTTTGCACATGTTGATTGGTTTCTTCCCCCACATTTGTTTCATGAATTGATGTATCATGATGACAATTTAAGTAACTATTCTTCCTTACATATGGATTAGTAGTTAAATTCTTTTCTTATGAAGGCTTATTATAGTTAAGATGGCCTAATTTCATTTCACATGCTTTTTGATATATTGTTACTACATAACGATCATTTTCCGCAAGCATAACGCGGTTGGTGCTTGCTTCATACTTTTACTTTTTGGACCACAAGTTGCTTATTTCTTGTAAACTGTACATTTTCTCTGATGAATTTCTCCCCAAACATGGTAGTCAGGTCCATATCATATTGGATTTATAACATTTGGTGTGTCAATTAGCACCGCCGATTCCAACCTGAAGCACAACCTCAAGGAGCTTGGAAAATTAATTTCTGAGGAACTGGAAGTTGATGATTCACAGGTAAAGCTGAATTACCTTGACTAAACAGAGTTTTAAAAGGTGATTAGATTTGAGGCAGTGTTAGATTCTGTTGAAATACATTTTTATTGGTTCCATTTTTTGGGAAGAACTACCTTACGTCATTATTGGTGCAATTTTATCTGAATCAGATTTCAATTATGTTTGGAATCACTGGTAGAATTTGATGGCTTTGTTAAAACATGTAGCATGCAGATTTAACTAGTGGTGTCCACCTATCAGGTGATCTATTGGACCTCAGTAGTATTTAAATTAATCTTGCTTGCCCTATGATTATGTGTGGTTTTCTTAATCTCTTTTGTGGCTACTTGGCATGGGCATATATAGTTGCCACTATTTAGCTTCAAACATGACTTCCCATAGTCGTTTAAAAACTTAGATACATCCATCAGTAACTAGTATCTCCTTATGTTTATTTGATTTTGCCGGTTCAACTGTAATTATGCAATTGGTTTAATTTTTCAGGTTCGACTGCTGAATGTCACCTCCCACGGGAAAGACTTCATTGTTAGATGGGGAATTTTTCCTGTTGCAAATGCTAATTATATTTCTAATACCACCGCACTGGTATTACAGCTACTTTGATTCTATTGTTTGCATATGCAACTTAAAATTCTACATCTATTTACCCCAGCATTGACCTAAAGCTTGTTTTCCTTTTTATGTGCAGAGCATCATTATGAGGTTAAGGGGTCACAGAATGCAGTTACCAGAGAAATTTGGAGATTATAAGTTGGTTGAATGGAATGCTGAACCTCAAAGGGAGTTGTATGTTTCCTTTTTCATTTACTCATCTATTATTCCTTTTATGCTACTAGTGTGGGTTTGGTTTTCTACTATTATTCCAACAAATAAATATTTGGAGCATTTTGGACCATGAAGGAACCCAAAGTCTAGTCTGCTCATTTCAAGTTAAATAATTAGTAATATCTGTACTTGAGATAAGATACAGAATTCTAAGCTCCCCTGAAGGATCTGGAGGAAAATCCATGATATTTTCTGTTAGTAGTGACCTTTTCTAGGATTTAAAGGCCAAACAGTCTACTTTTGATGCATTTTGACTGTCACATGCTTACCAGTAATTATGTTAAAGTTGTTAAAAGGTTGAACTTGATTAGTTATGTTAAAGCAATTGTGGGATGGTGCTGGTGGAGATGGGCTATCATCAGATTAGCATTTTTTTTCATCCGAAGATGTATGTGATTAGGAGGGTTGGGAGGGACAGACGATGCCACAAGGGCCCCTTGGTTTAGACCTTTATACTGGCAGTGGTATCTATTACCTGTCTACAAGTTTTGGGTTTTTTTTTTTCTGTAGTCAAGGTTCCTGCTTTTGGACTAATTTTTTTTTTATAATGAAGCTACTTAACCTGAACTCAAGTAATGTGTGGTACATGGGTGGCACCCTTTTTTGTGTGTGCGTGTGTCGGTGCACATGACATGACCATGTGCACTGTGCAATTTTTTTATAGGGTCTCAAGAATCGTGTATATATTGTTTCTTTTCCTGTTTTGTTGTGTTGATTTAGCTTCAGAAATTACAGTGGTTCTTACCGGAGCTTTGCAGGTCATGGTGGCAACATCACTTTCTTGCAACGTTACTTGGATCTGTAACAACTCTGATTCTCATTTTATCAGTTATTTGCATATGGTTGGTCCATCAGCACCACCAACAAGCAGCTTATGAGCCTGTTGCTGTTGGTGCTTCTATACCAGAACAAGACCTTAATCCTGTTAAATCTTAAAATGTTTAACGGTGCGAAGTTGTTTGCTTTCATGGTTATCTTGTAATACTACATTACTATCATGCACGCACTACATGCTTTTGAAGTTATAAAAAATGACGACGATGATGCATCCAAGCCAGAACTACCCAATCCCCATGTTGTAAAATTTTTCTATCGACCCTTTTTTTATTGTTAGAAAAAGAAACCAGTGAGTGCAAATATATAGCTTGAAACGATGATCATATTTTTAGCTCTCATGTCATTAAGTGGAACAAATCTCTTTGAATCCCGAGATCAAGTAACGCATGATTGAAGCTGTTGAGCTTCTAAATCATCGTTAGCTACAAACAAGCGAGCGCGATTATCAATAATGATCGTATTAGATAATTCATCAAATGAGGTAACTTATCCACAAACCACTCAAAACACTATTTATTCATTGGAAACCTTGATGATATTAGCTTAATAGAAAACATTTAATGGGTCCTCGTCCACAACTCTTTAAGACGTTCAGTCCCACAAGCAAATATACACCTTCCACAACATTGCCATGAGAAATGGGAAAGAAAGGCAAAGCAAACACGGGGCTTAAGGACACATGGGCAATCCCTTGTAGTCCTTCATGTCCCCGTAGCAGTAGCATTCATGCTTGTTCTCAATATCCACAGATGGAACACAACTGCATTTCTCACAGCAAATTGTACAGAATTTCATGCACCTCTCTTTAAACTCTGCCTTGGAGCACCTTGCCTTACACTTGTAGAAACAGTAACCTGCCTTACATAAAACCACAGTCACTGACAACTATCGTCCATTACAAATAAAATATATAAATCGACATGTTTATTTGTTTGTTTGTTACTTCTTTTGCATATTAGCTTTATTTTCGTGTACCTGCCATTGACTCCTCAAAGAAAAAGGAGCTGAGAACAAGAGAAACAAGAAGGAATGTCACCAAGGAGAGCTTCATTTCTTCTTCTTTTTTTCAAACAGGATTTGCCTTGGAGTGGGAGATAGACCCAAGAAATTAAAACGAAGTAATAGAGTGGAGTTTGCAATGGAGGAGGGGCTTGTTTATATAGCGAGAAGCTAACACAGGTAGGTAAAAAGTAAGAAGATTGTTTTGAGCTTGATTGGCGTGACCCGTATTGGTTTATGGCTTTAGCTACACTGACTCTGCCATAACAAAATTATGCTGTTGAGCAACGTCAAGTGCCATCCATATTGCATGAAATTATGGCTTTAGATCTACTCTTTCAATTTTATTATATAAACTTATTAGCATTGATTTTGTTGTAGCAGTTTTGAATCAAGCAAAGCTTAACGGGTTGAAGCCCAGACGATGAAAGTATCCAACTTTAGCAATTAGTTTCTTGAACAAGGCTCGCAATATAAATCCAAGTTTTGACCTCCTCAAATCCATTTTTTTCAAGCACTTCCTACAAAGCCTTAAACAGCAATTCATTTTCTTTTCTAGTATTTTATTTTTCGAACCCCACTTCCTACATCCAAATTTGTCCTCGGCTTTGGAGTTAAGCCACGTGGTATAAAAAGTAAACTATCAGGAGCCGGCAATAGGTTGTAAAATAGACAAGTTGGCCACAAAGTAGATCGAGCGTACTGGCACGACAACGTGATGAGATTGGACAGCTATTGAAACCTTCAATTTCTGTTTGTGTCACCTTCTTAATTCTTGTGTGTGAAAATTAGAGTAGAAATGGAATTCCAAATTAGAGAAAAACTTCTCACCGATTCCATGGAAACAGAACGAAAAGCCACACCCTTTCATATATGCTGATTAATATAACCAATTTACACATATATGTCATTTTAAAATTTTTCTATGAAAACAATATCATTCAGAAGTTATTTATTAAAATAATATTTGCTTTTATTATTTAAAATAAAAATGTCTTATCAAATATTAAAAAATGATTGATTGAACATATCTTATACTAATAAAAATAACTTTTTATATTAATTGACATAAAAAAATGTTTGGTCGACATGTGATATATTACATATTTTATGAATAATTGAGGAATTTTATTCAAATATAAAAATTATTCATTAATAATTAAAAGTTTTAAGTTATTCAAATTATTTAAGTCTTATTTTATAACTTGACACAGATTTAAAAAAAATTTATATTAAATTAAATTTATAAAATTATAAATCAAGTTAATTAAAATTAAATTCTTTAATAATAAATAAAATTTTAAAAAAAAATTAAATTGAGCGCAATTTTAGTCCCCTCTTAATATCCGGGGCATCCGTCATCGCTCATATCACCCTTTTGTCGTTTTCTTTCTTGAGTTTAATTACTTATGTGGAGTAATTTCGAATTCACAAGATCTCAAATACCTCAATCCTTTTGGTCAATCAAACACCACTGGCAGATTGTTAGTTCGCTGTTCCATCGGGCTTCAACCATTCGCCTCTCCCTTTTTATTGATTTCCCTGTCATGGTTGGGACGGAGAAATCGAAGATAGAAAAGGGATTGGAAGTGAGTACGATGAAATTAGGGCTAAAAGAGGTGGAAATTAAAGAATTGGGGATTAAATAACCGGTTGAAGGAATGTGCAGTCAAAACGACACAGGACTTAGCGTTGAGGAAATGGGCTTAGAGCAAGCTGACCCACTGAATTAACTAAGGCTGATCTGGTGGTAAGCAAATCCAATGCAGTTGGAGGAAGTAACGGAAATGGTACAATGTACAACATAAAACAGAATGGAGTGTACTGGAAAATCTTGAAAAATATCTAATGAAAATTCTGAATTCCTTTTCCTTCTTCTTCTAAATTCTTAATCCTTTCTGACCTAAACATAACAATTGGTATTCAGAGCTAGGCTAAATTTGATCCAAATTTTTTTTTCAAGCTGGGAAAGACTAAGAAGACGTAGAAGATGGGACAGACCGAGCAAACCAAAGATACCATGGATGATCCTGACGGCTCTCTCAATGCAGAAGTTCCTGTTTGGTGGGTCAACCAAAAGTTGGAATGGGAGCAACGATTGGAATCTTTGGAGAAGACAACGAATGAGACTAATGGTTATTTGCAACAGCTCTTGAGTCTAATGCAGAAAGCTGGAGATGAATCGGGTCAATCTTCACCTGCAACAAATCAAAACAATATGACAAAAACTCAGCCACAGGTAATCGGAAAAACACCTTTACAAGTAACTGTTATTGATGACCGAGAGAAATATTCATTTCAACCGATGGAACCTGGGATTTTAGCTTCAAAACCTATATTTCCTGGAGATAACTCGAAGGTACCTTCTACAGTGCATAAATTGAAATTAAGGGGAAATCCACAAGCACTTGGGGAACCATCTATCCTCAAATGTTCTGAATTAATGGAACTAAGCCATACAACCAACAATATGGATATGTTTACTCCTAGACCAAAAATAGAACTTCCATTTTTTGATGGTTGTAACCCAAGGAGTTGGGTGCGGAAGTGTGACAAATATTTTTCTATATTTTCTATACCGGACAGTCAGAAGCTAGAAGTGGCTGCTATGTATCTAACCAGTAGGGCTGAGATTTGGTTTGATGGCTATGTTATGAAGAAAAACCGAGTCTTTTGGCATGAATTCGTGGCAGACATTACCCACAGGTTTTATGATAAAGGGTATATTGATGTTATAGATGAGTTTAACAAATTAACTCAAACGTCTTCTGTGGAAGAGTATGAGGATAAATTTGAAGAACTTCAACCTTTTATTCTTCAAATTAATCATGGATTGGGGGAGGAGTACTTTGTTTCTTGCTTTTTGAGTGGGTTGAAAGACGAGCTCAAGCACAAAGTTAAAGTTCTTGAGCCTAAAACAGTTATTGAAGCTGGTAGAAAGGCTAAGATATATGAGTTATCCATAGAAGTTCAAAATAGAAAAGGGCGACCCATTTTTAAGTCGAATTCTGTTCTGCCACCTACGAGAATTCAAGGGATTTCTCCGACGATGAACCCTAGACTTTTGCAACCTCAAACCACTGCTAAACAACAGTTGGTGGATTACCGAAGAGCTAATGGACTCTATTTTAAATGTGGAGACAAATATGGCCCTGGGCATCAATGTAAACAGAAACAATTGAACATGATGGAGGAGGATGAAGGCCATGACTCTGATGTTCCTCCTTTAAATCAAGACATTCACATACAACAACAACTATTACAAGAGAGTGAACATGATGATGGAGCTCTAGAAATCTCCATTAATGCTCTAAATGGTACTGCTGGTCACAACACCATTAGAATACAAGGTACTGTTAATACTAAACTTTTGAATATCTTGGTGGATAGTGGGAGTACCCATAGCTTTATTACTCCACGATGGGCAAAGGAATGAATGGAGGTAGTACAAACTGACCCTTTAGTCATCATTGTGGCTAGTGGGGAACGACTTCACAGTACAGCGAGAAGTAATCAATTTACATGGCATATGCAAGGATATGACTTTGTACATGATTTCAGAGTACTACAAATGAGGGGAAGTGATATGGTTTTAGGGGTTGATTGGATGAAGAAATTCAACCCTATTACCTTGGATTTCAATGAGATGACATTAACTTTCAAGAAAGATGGGAATCTTATTTCATTGCAAGGTGGTCATCGAATTCCTTCTGTTAAGATGATTTTGGGAGACAAGATGTAGAAATTGACCTCAAAACAAATCGAGGTTATTGGAGAATTCTATTGGATAAGTACAGAAGTTGATTCTCATGAAGTTCCACTTATTCTTCAACCCTTACTAGAAGCTTATTAGTAAGTTTTTAATGAACCAAAAGGACTACCTCCGGTTTGAAACCATTATCATGTTATTGTTCTTAAAGCTGATGCTCCACCAATTAATTTGAGACCATATCGTTTTCCTTATCAGCAGAAATCTGAGGTCGAAAAACAGGTTAAGGAATTATTGACTGCTTCCATTATCCAGACTAGTAAGAGTTCGTTTTCTTCTCCATGTTTGCTGGTTAAGAAGAAGGATGGTACTTGGAGGTTTTGTGCCGATTATCGACAGCTCAACTAGGACTGTAAACGAACCGAACGCACACGAACGGAAGTATGTTCATGTTCATTCATTTAATAAATAAACGAACATAAACGAACACGAACATAAACGAACAAAATTTTTTTTGTTCATGTTCGTTTATTAAGGAATATAACTTGTTCATGTTCGTTCATTTAATAAGTAAACGAACATAAACGAACACGAACATAAACGAACATGAACATAAATGAACACGAACATAAACAAACATAAACATTGGAGACCCTACCTAGGGGTGTAAACGAGCCAAGTCGAGCTCGAGTATTACTGAGCTCGACTCGAACTCGAAAACTTTCAAAGTCAGCCCAACTCATCTCGAAAACACGAACATAAGTATTGTTGGTGGCGCAGTCACATAGGGTTCCGACGCAGTGAATGTGACGGTGCTGGGTATGCAGCTTATGGATCGTTCAAAAAGAACTAAACCATGTTAATATTGTTGGGTTTTCCAAATAAAATTGGGTTAATTATGGAGTTGGTCATCAGAATATCAAATTAATTAATATTTTTAAGATACTTACAAATTGGTCACCAAAATTGATTTAAGAAGATTGAGTTAAACATAAATAAACGAACATAAAAGAACATAACCGAACGAACATAAACAAACATAACCGAACGAACATAACCGAACGAACATAACCGAACGTTCACAAACGTAAATGAACGAACGAGACCTATGTTCATGTTCGTTCATTTAATTAAACGAACACAAAATCTTGTTCATGTTCGTTCATTTAATAAATAAACGCACATCAACGAACTTCCTGCCGCACAGTTCATGAACGGTTCGCTGAACGTTCAGTTCATTTACAGGCCTAAGCTCAACCAATGGACAGTCAAGAACAAATTTCCTATTCCTGTAGTTGAGGATCTTTTGGATGAGTTGACAGGGTCAAATTTTTTTTCAAAAATTG